GATTATATAGGCACAATTGGATTGAAAACTAGTGATTATGTATTTCAAAATGTGGTTACTAGAGTTTTAACCAGAAAATGTTGTGCCATGATTTAGCTCATAGGGAAAGGATCAGAATACTTCTAATTTTCTAATCACTTGCCTGCTATAGAGTTAGATCCTCTAATCTGTTATTGCTAGCTTGGCAGAGAGTAAAATTGACCATTTCAGTCCAGTGCCCAGGGCAAAGCTATTTAGTACTGTCTGATACTGGCTGATTGCCTTAATAAAGCATCAAGGACTGATTTGGTGGGATTATAAATGCTGTGTTCTCTATTTCTAAAGCCAGTCCTTTCATAGAATAGTTAGGCACGTGGGTGTAGTGCCTTGTGAAAAAATAGGTAGTAGCAAATCAGGTTTTTCCTGGGAGAAATTGAAAGGGAAATTTGCATTCTAATTGTAGAGTAATTTTCTGCCATAAGTTTGAAATCAATTAAAAATGTCAATTTTATTGGTTCGTTTTCATAGGAAAAACATGTTGTTTCTACATTTTGCTTTGATTTTACAATGCATAGTGACAAACCCCCAGAACACAGAACTGATGTGGTAGCTGTTGCTCGGCCCTTCATAATAAAATGTCCTTTTCTTTTGGTTTAAACTTCTCCCTAAATTTCAAAACTAGAATGAAATAAACATGTTTGTTTATTTAAAAAAAAAAAAAAAAAGTGGTCATATGCACAAAGCAATTTTTTTTTCATTATAGCTAAGGTATTTTATTTTTAATGCAGTAGACTTCAAATCCTGGATATGTAGAACTTCCACTCCCAGGAATGCCAGTACAAACAAAAGAAGAAAGTAGTGAGAGAAGCCAACATATGAAGAGCAGCCTTTTAAATGCTGGGGATCTGGAAAGGCCTGCTGTGTCGCATTATATTTGTGGATTTCAAACTGCAGCATGCAGATGTATGCACATGAATAATTTTGAGCAGAAGAGCTTTAATCCCCTTGTAGAAAATGGAGTCAGTCAAATGTGTAACGTTACGACATGTATTCATGGTTTGGTGACTGAAGCTTAAGATCAAGTTCTGGGCCTCTGGCTTTGTTTTCAAATATCTTAAGTTTTTAGCATATGTGCATGAAAGAATAACTCTCCTTGGTTCATGCTTTTGCTGTTGCCTTCCACATGCCTCTGGGAAATCTGACTTTTTATACTCTGGATTATTTTAATATTAGGGAGTAAGGTATGAATTATTATTTCTGAACTCCATGGATTTTTCTACTCCAATTATAAGATTGATAGTCTCTGTGATGATAGTGTGAGGGCTTGAAATGAAAGATAGAGTGAGAGGGTACACAGCTCAGAAGTAGTTGATTTCAATCCTCAATGCATTCACTAAATAATTCAGTATCACTAATGGAAATCTGATCTGAGCGCGGCAGTCGGGATGCAGGGCACTCAGTTGCCAGGGCTTGGCAGCTCAATAGTTCGGGAACAACAGTGGAGCAAAAGGTGAAAAAACCTTTAAACTGTCGTGGAGTTCTCCTCTCTGCTTTCCTGGAATCATGTTATGTTTTCCTGGTGCTGCTGTTGCTGATGGCTGGGAAGGGCACGGAAAGAAATTAATATTTACAGTGGAGTTGAAACAAACAAGGCAAGCTCAGCTCCAGCTGACCTTCTAACCTACTCAGCAGTGGGACCAAAACCAGGGAAGCTCTTCTTGAGAGAAAACTGCATAAAGCCTTGTCCTCTGAGCTGCTCTCTGAACTTTAGAGTCAGAATTTTTAAGGCCATGTTTGGAAAAAAGTGAAAACTACTGTTAGAAGTTCTAAATATTTCCTTCAGGTGGGTTGTGAATTGATTACCTAAGAGTAACAAAAACCCCCAGCTTCAAAGAGAAAAGTTGGTGTTTATGTTTTTTTCAAAGGAAGAAAACCCACCTAATTCAAGGGAACTTATTATGATGTACTTTCTGCATTTTGGCAAAAACTATTCCTAAAATTAGGAGCTTCTTCCCCCAAAATTGTCATAATTTTTTACTGATTGAATTGAGAGTCTAATTAGGATCTAACATTTTGGATTGTTTATGAGAACATTTGCATGTGGCATCAATCAAAGGTCCTTTTACAGCCCGTTTTGGCCTGAAACTTCAGCTTTCCTTTTTAAGAGATATTTCAGATTTGCCTCACTCATTAGGTTGTGCATTTTTGCTCCAGGTAGCGAAGAGGATACGTGAAAACAGAAACTGGACTTCTACAGCTGCCAATTCATTCCTCACCACTGCTTTTTGATCAGAGTGGAACCAACAACTGTAAACAAATGTAAAGGATTTTAAAGATAATTATCCCTGACAATCTGTGAGCAAAGTCTCTTTTCTTGGTTACCTTTGTGTTCAGAGTAGAAAAGCAATAGTTGAAAAGTATTTTTTTCAGTAGGGATTTTCCTATCAGTCACAAGAAATGTTGACTGGTCTGCAGTTCCAGAGATCATGCAGCAATTACATCATTGTCTGAGAAAAAAACTCAGGAGAGACAAAACAGCAGAGAAGATCTGGAGATAAGCTCCTCCAACCTTAATATCCTTTTATTAAGGAAAACATCCCTCTGAACTGTTCATAGCTTATCATCCATCCATCTCAATGTTCTCCATGCTATACTGCTGTTTCCCACTGGGAACCAGTGCTACAGGCTCCTTTGATGGTGTGAATAACATAGTTTGTGACCTTTCTCTTGGCAAAAAAAAGTTACATTTGTCCTCTCAAGACTACTGTATTCACTGTCTCATTGTCCTCTCTGTCTTAACAGGTTCTAGCTCAATGGTAAAAGTTCAGTCAAGAAATTCAAGTGTTATGCCTCATTAATATCAAACATATACAACACAGTGAGCAATTTGGGGCAAAGAATATTTTTCCTGTATGTGTACAGTGCTTATTGCAATGGAAACCTCAGTCAAGCCTCAAGGTGCCATTGAAACAAATAATACGAACATTAAAAAACATTTACCTTTTTGGCAATCAAAAACTGAGAAACTCTGTTTTTCAGTCATAGGTGCTTTGAACAATTATCTGTCCCTGAGAAGCTCTGCTAACCTTGTTAGCAGTTTTATTTTTGAGATTCTGAGTCAAATAACACACAAAACTATTACACAAAACTATTTTTTGTGCATGTAAACTCAGTTTCAGGAAAATAACATCTGAGCCATGAAAAACTAGGTATGGAGAAAATCTGGGAGCAAATGTGGTCTTGATATTGCTTCCAAATTTAGAGGTTAAAGGAGGCTTCTAACATCATGCACATCTTTGTGAAAAGCAGTTGCTTTCTGCAAAGTTTCCACTGTTTTATCAAAATGCTATGCTTGCAGTGTTTTGGCTAAGACTCAGATTTCTGTGAGGAAAGTAAGAAACCTCTTGGCCCATTCTGATGCAATCCGTTTTGGTTTCCATCAAGGTGAACTTAGAGCCATTTTTCTCTTTCCTACTTAGTTACTCAGGAAGGATTGATCATCTGAAATGTGCTATAGTGGTTGTATGGAGAATTTCTTGGGTCTGCAAAGTGTCAACCACTACCAGGTGCTTCTTGATGGAAAGTTTTTCTCTAGGTGCTTGTTGTGCTTAGCTCCGTGCTGCCAGGATTTCACTGAGAAGACCTCAGGAAGGTGCGAGCTGGCTAGCAAGCATTCATTCAGCCTTGCATGCTCTGAAACACAAATGCCATTGAATTCTCCTTTCCACTCATCCAGCTGCTAGAAAGGATATTCTTTCCACCTCAAGCCATCACTTTACACTGCAAACCAAAATTGTTGTTTTAAATTACATCACTGTCATTAAACCTGCTGGTGGTGCAAATCCTGCACAGCCGTGCCAGGACTGAACACATAACTGTGTGATGAAAAGAAGATGTCAAGGTGTGGATGGAAAGGGTTAGTTTACTTTACTAAGAAGGACTCCAGGTGAGTGCAATTGCCTGCTCTGGGACTGGCTGTACAGTGCTTTTCATTGTCACAGATGGTAGGTGTTAGATGATGCAATGTGTTCGGTGCCAGACAAATTACTTTTTTAGCTCATTCCTCTGGAAACAGGAGGGGAATCTGAACTGGATTTCTGTGCAAACCTGGAGCAGGAGCTGCAAGCTACAAACCCAGGTGAGACCTAAGCAGTGAATGGGCCCAGTCTTTCAAGTGAAGGCAGAGACTTGCTCTGGGGAGAGGGAATTACACAGAAACTGCCTGGAGTTTGGAACAAGTCCACGTAGTTTTAAATTAAGCTGTGGATTGGGGAACACTCTTATTCAGTGGATGTAATGAACCTGAAAGTTGGAAAAGCCTGCTACTAAATGAAAGCCCTGATACAACTGCAGCAACCGCTATGACCAAAAGTGTTGAAATGGCATGGCAAAAGTTGTTCTCACTGTGCTTTTAGGCCAAGTTGAAATTAAAATTGAAATTAAAAGCTGGGGGTGGGGGAGGGAAAGAAGTGGTCCACTGTGGGTATTTATTTATTTATTTATTTATTTATTTTCTTGCTTCCCACTCTCTAGCACTATTTCCAGCCTATCACTCCCGTGGTCAAAATGGCAAGCTGGAAGTCAGCGAGGCCGAAGTTAGAGCTCCTCAAACTCTGACAGCCAAAGGCAACCGGGGCAAAAACTGCGGTGGACGTTTGTACCTGCAAAAGCAGCTGAAGCCCCGCACCGGTCGGGCTGTAGGGCGAGCTGCCTCTCCCTGTCCCTGGGTGATGAAGAGGAGAGAAAGTTACCTGAGCTAACAAGCCCGGTCGGGATCCTGTGGCGCTCCGCACTGCAGCAGCTCCCCACCGGGCTCTCCGCGGCGCGCTCCTCCCGCGGGAGCTGCGGAGGAGCGGAGCGAGCCCAGCCCGGCTCGGCTCGGCCCAACCCAGCCCGGCCCGGCCCAACCCAGCCCAGCCCGGCCCGGCCCAGCCCGGCACAGCCCAGCCCAGCCCGGCACAGCCCAGCCCAGCCCGCGGCGGGGGCGCGGCTGCCCCGCGGCTGACCCGCCCGCATCACACGAGGGGGCAGCGCGGCCGCTCGCTCTGCCCCGGCGCCCGCCTGCCTTCCCTCCTCTCGCCGCCTCGCCGCAGCCCGGGCTCCGCCGAGTTAAAGCGCGGATCAGGTTCCTTGCCTGCAGTATAAAAATCTCGGCCGGAAAGCTCCGGCGGGAGAGAGAGCAGAGCCGGGCGTGAGGAGCGCAGGGACGCGCGGCGGCACAGGCAGTCGCTGCTCACCGGGGACGGTCGCGGCTCGCCCCTTTCAGCTGCGGGAGAGGAGCTCTTTGCCGCCCCAAGTAAGTCCGAGGCAGTGGCGGGGACTCCCGGGTCTGCCCGAGGGATGGTACCTCCAGCGCTTGTTCCCCCGGGGCAGGGTGGGCAGCGCTTCCCTCGTCCCTGCCGCGGCTCCGGGACACTTGCCCCAGCAGGACGCCGCAGAGGCTGGCCGGCCAGAGGGGCCGTGGGGCTGGGTGGGAGCAGGGGTGCACCTGAGGGGGACACCTGAGCCCCCGGAGACACCTGGCCGAGGTGGTGGGTGAGGTCTGGGAGTGCCCGGGAGCAGGCACGGGACCGCTTTGCCGGGTGGGGAGCGCTGCCGCGGTGCTTCGGTGCCTGGGAGCGTTCAAGTGCCAGCACGGGGTGAGAGGGACAGCGGCGGCCGTGGGTGACGGGACCCAGCGGGGAAGGGAGGCAGGAGTGTTCGGGCAGTTCCGTTTCGAGGGGACAAAGGGACAGCGGAGCGGCAAACCCCCTGCGGGTCCCAGTTACCCTGTGCCAGGAGCGTCCCGGCTGGAACTCGGGAGTTTAAATTGTACCTTCAGACCGAACACTTGGGCTTATATTTTTCTTGGGACTTTGCCTTCTTATCCCTAATTTACTCCTGCTGAAACAACTAAATCTAGCAAGTGCTGATAGATCTGTCTAAAACTGCCGTTGTTAGTTCGTGTCTTCCCCTTCCTCGGGACGGATAGGCTGGGGGAAAAACCTGAGTTAACAACGGTGAAAACACAGTTTCCTCTTTGTAGAACTTGTCTGTGATTCTGCGAATGTTTCATGGTCTCCAGCCTCGGTGCTTTTAACTCCTTACCTTCCTTTCTTCTCTTCTTTTTAAAAGTACAACTTTTCATAGGGGGAAGGTAATCTTCATTCTGCGGGAGCTTATCTGCTCCTTTTACATCTTCCGCTTGGCTGTCGCACCTCTCTTCCACGCTGCCAGTGGCTTTGCCTTGGTGGTGAATGACTACTGCACTTTAACTTAGTGGTACCCTCGGGAGCTGGCTATTAGGATGTACACCTGAGAGACTGGCGGGTTCTTGGGAGCACTGGGGAAATGTTTGTGACAGGAGTTAAATCTTTCTCTGTGACATAACCCTAGAGCTATGGATAGTGGTGTTCTAGCCAGATCCCATTTGCTTGCAATGACTTGTATTATGGTAGAGGAGCATTTTACCTGTGGGTCATCAGCTCTTGAGTTGATGTCCTTTCCTTGTTTTCCCTCTGGGCACTGATTTTTTTTAGCTTTTAGCAAAGCTCAACTTTTTGAACAAGAACTACATGATGTGTGTAACTGACTGTATTAGGGAGAAAAAGGGATGGGATGGAGAGAAAAAGAGAAGGAAAGTAAAAGTTGTCACAAAGAAATACTTGGTGTGTCCTGAGCAGTGTTCTTGAGCCGATTACAAAACAAATTTAATGTTTATGTGTGTTTGTTTTGTTCTGTTCATTTCAATTTCCTCCCTGAAAAAGAATAAGAATTAAAAAAAAAAAATAATTCTGAACTTTTATAACGAGAAATAGTTTAAAGTGAAAAAGGAACTGGTGTATTTGTGACAAAATTTGTTGCTTTGCTGTAGGTAAGAAAATTTGGAAGTGCATGGAGAAGGTACTTCATTGAAGTAAAAAAAAAACCCCAAATTCCCATAACTGACCCCAAAAAGCAGCAAAACCAATTCCTGCTGCATAATTTAGCTACTTTTGCTAAAGAGAAGGAATGTGGAGATTTAATAAACTCTTGTCTCCAGGCTGAGCTAAACTCTTCAGTGATTTTTCATGTATGAAGGTTTGGGTGAAACTGAAGGACAGAAACTCACAGACTTTACTCCCGAGTCAGCTCTTGGGTGGGGAAAAAGAGAAGCCAGCAACAAACCTTTCTTTTACAAATGGTAAATATTCGTTTATAGTGTAGAAATGGTCTAAGAAAAACAGGTTTTTTGCAGTTATCCAGATGTCTATCCCCAGTTATTTGAGATGCAGTCTGTGGATGATGTATCCTTGCCAGCAGAAGGTTTGTCTCACTATAGGATTACAAAACATAGTGCTGCTATCCCAGTACCATATGCTTGACACTGGGGACACTTTGGAGGGTTATCTTATTCCTGACACAGCTGTACTGATGGATGTTTTGTGTAGATTAATCTTTCTGCCACAAATGTGAATATTATTACTTAGTGAACTTCCAGCAGTGGCTTCGGCAAGGTACTTTCTTGAAATGTCCTCTATTTCTTCTTGATGATTCTGGGAATGGTTGTTCCTGACTCCTTAGATAACAATTAAAAATAATTCTTTACAGGAGCTCTGAAAATGCATTCATTTAACTCATACTATTTTTTTTCCTGTGTGTGTTGGGTGGTGTTTTTTTTGGTTTTTTTTTTTTTGTTTTTTTTTTTTTTTTTTTTTTTTTTTTTTTTTTTTTTTTTTTTTTTTTTTTGTCAAGGAAAATACAATTTATCTAGTGTTATGGTATAACAAGTGTTTTAGTGTAAGACTAGGGCATTAGGGATGGAGCTGGCATGGCTCATTGCTTCTGCTCTGTTCAGGCCCCCTCATTACCTACATTCCCAACTGTGGCATTTTCTGTGGGAATTGGTCTTTAACAATGTATGCTTTGCTTCGATATTTACAACCTCTTGCTGGTCAGTGTATCAAAAGCATTTTCATTTAGAGGATGCATTTCAGGACTTTAATTGAGGAAATCTCTTTGTTCCAGGGCTCCATAATAAACCATACAAAATGCTGTTTTTGAATGAACTAGGTCACTGTAACACGTGCACACATAGAGGGATTCTCATCTGCTCAGGGTAGCGACGCTCGCTTGAGCCATATCCCTGGTGAGCTTGTCCCTGATTTATCCTTCTTGGACTGGCTTGTTCACAGGGAGCTTATGCTGAAAATTCACTGCTGGAGGTCATTCTCCATTCTTGGCATCTCTGGCAGCCTTAAGCTTAAATTGCAGCCTCATTTTCTATCCAATCAATACCACTCTTATGTCGCTGAGTTTCCATGGTGCCCCCAATCTTCTGTCTACATATTGATGTCTGACAGCAGGAATAGCATTCTGTGTCGCTATATATACTTACTAAACCTGTCAAAACTATTTAGGGTCTGTCACACTAATTTATATCCATATCCTGATATTATTTGTATCTGTTGAGCTTTGACTGATGGAACTTGCTGCACTAAGGAATCGGCCCCAACAATGCACTCCAGGGATGGCTCAAGGGATGGATGTTTTGAGAAAGGGGAGTAAGACTCTCTTCTAGAGTAGCTGGGGTAGTCTAGAATCCTTTGAGCACAATGGAGTTATTTTGAAAACATTCAAGTCTCAATGGCTCCAAGTTAATGCTTTGGAAATCATTCTTCATTGTGCTGCTCTGAATGCACAGAGGGTCCTCTCCAGTGGAGCTGTGGAGAGGGAAATAGAAAAGTGGGCATTGTCAAGTGCTCAATGTGGGGAGTTCGGGGAAATTTGAGTCAGTTGTCTGACATCAATTTCTTCAGCAGAAGCACTGTGGGCAAATGGAATTAGAGGAGCCAGCAATGTCTTCTGTAATGTGGATGTTTTTGTTTTACTACAATGACCCACAGAGCTGAGTTGTTGTGTAAGAAATGGTATGGTGGTGTCTCTGTGGACTGACACAACATCAGTGAAACCAGATTTAGAAAAGGCACATCTTCTTTATATCACTAAATTTGTTGCACTGACAACTTGTTACTCATGTCAGCAGTGTTACTAAATAGAAACCATATATATATTTAAAAAATTAAATATGCTTGGCAAATTGTTGATTTTAGATTGAAAAGAAGTGGTCATCAGCTGAAGATCTCTTTAATCCCACTACCTTTAACATGAGCTTGATCCAACCCATAAAATAAGAGTTGGCAGTCAGTATGGAATTTGCTTCTTAATATTTTTGTTGTTCTGAGTTGCCAAAAGAAGTGATCTGGTGATGCCAAGTTCATCAGTACTTTTCAGGCTCTCTTTAGGCTCCTACAGTTTTTTTCCCAAGTGAAAAATAAGGACCCTAAAGACTTAAAAGGACATGTTGCAAGTTCAGTTTGTTTTCAGCATTGTTTCACCTTACCATGGTAGAAAGGGTCAGCAGGACTTTCAGCAGGACTTCACCTAACTAGACACTCTCTTGGCCAGTATGTCTCACCTCCTTTCATTCCAAGGAACAGAATCACTGTGCCATTTAAAATATATGGCTCTACCTTCCGCAGTGGCACTGTGATGATTTTCTTTTTTTCAACCTTTTTTATTTGCTTCCTTGTCTATATGTGTGGGAGTGACTTTTGAAAAACTGTAGTCATCTTGCAGACTGCTTGTTCATGTCTTCCAGGCTGAAGATTGAAAGAACACAGCTGTAGGCAGTTTGATGGGAGATGAGAAGGGGGAATGGGAATGTAATAAAAGAGAGCTGTATTACTGATAAAGCCAGAGGATTTTCACCCTCACCATCTCTCTACTCCGAAGAGTCCTTCCTAGCCTTCCCAGAGTGGCACATTCTGGTTTCAATGGGGATGACCTCTGGAGGTGAGGAGATGAGCTAACTATATCTGAGGCAAAATTCAGTTCCATTACATTAAGAAAAATGTATTAATGTGTTATTTTGGGCCTTAGGTGCACATTGGTTGGCATGTGCCACTGATGGCATGGTAGCTACAGCAGAGGGGTAAAGACTTCTAGAGCAGACGAGGGTTACAGGAGTTGGGTATTTTCAGATAAAAATAGTCTTTGAAAATAAATAGTGCCTGGGGCTCCTGCATACTGCCATTTAGTAAACTGCAAAGTTCAGTTTTAAACTGGGCCTTTCTCCTTTGAGGCCTGCCAGCACTATTTCAGAGCTCATTAAATGTTTCACAAGAGCATTATAAAAATCTTCCTTCCTCATTAGTCTCTACACAGTTTCAGCATAGCTTGGACCTTGTAAACATCCCCTATTTAGTTGTGGATGAAACCATCATCAAATTGCTGTGGGGAGGGAAGAAAAAGAGGAGGAATTCCCCAATACCCCAG